GAACAGTTCCAATTTTAATTTCCATATAATTGGATTTACAGAAACTTGGAACAGTTCCAATTTTAATTTCCATATAATTGGATTTACAGAAACTTGGTTAAAACCTCACATTTTTGATAATGAGATTTTAAACAGCGAATTCAGCGAACAGAATCGGTGGAGGTGTTCTATTTGCCGTGCATTCCTCTATCCCATCTGAAAATATTCTTGTTCCAGGGGCCGACTCATTTGAATTTAAATGTTCTAGAGTATACGTTAATAGTTGCTTTATTTATTTAACCCTATCTTATATACCACCCCATTCGGACTTATCTGTATACATGCAGCATGCTTCTTTAATAAATAGTGCTACCTCGATGGCAAATAATGCAGATTCAATAATTGTATTAGGTGATTTCAATTTACCGTGTGCTTCGTGGAAACCTTTCGATGACTATATCGTGCCGATTTGCAATCGGTCATGTTTTAATGAGTTTTTCGAAAAAATGTCCGAATTGGGTCTGAACCAAATTAATTTGATTCCGAATAAATTTGGTAAATGCTTAGATTTAGTATACGTTGATACCTCTGCAAAGTGTTCCGTTATTCAGAGTAATCCTCTTGTTCTACCAGAGGACTCATACCATCCTGCTTTGGAAATATCTGTCGAAATCTCAGGCATTGTACGGGATAATAATCATCAAACTTGCTTCTGTACTCGGTTTAACTTTGCAAAAGCTAATTTAAAAAAATTAAATACAGAACTTTCTACAATAACATGGCCTAATTATAATGGTGACATTGAATTGAGTGTTTCTCATTTTAATAACACTATTATGAAATTATTTGAAAAGTATGTTCCAATAGTAATTGTTAACAAAAACAAAAGTATAAGTCCGTGGTTTTCGAAAGAGTTATATAAATTGAAAAACAGAAAAACTCGAGCCTTTAAACATTTAAAAAAAACCGGTTCACTTGTCGACTATTCTAAATATTCGCTACTGCGTCGACAATATTTTGACCTAAACAAAAAATGTTATAATAATTACTTAAATAAAGTTAAAAAAAATATTGTAAGTAATCCAAAATCGTTTTATGATTTCGTCAACTCCAAACGCAGGATTTCCAAATTTCCGTCCGCAATGAAATACAAATCTATCATTTCAAGTGACAATGATATTATATCCAATATGTTTGCAGAATTTTTCAAGTCAAACTACTGTAATAATTCTTCCAAAACTTTTTCTTATCAGCAAGTGCTGTGTTCGAAAACTTTAATTAACGCTCCAGTTATTTCTGAAGAAGACGTCCTTTTTAATTTAAATAAGTTAAAACCATCTTTTAGTTATGGCCCAGACATGATACCCTCATGCTTCCTTAAAAATAGTGCCAAATATATTTACTTGCCTTTGACAAGGATATTTAATTCCTCTCTTAAACACGGTATATTTCCTTCAATATGGAAACAGTCATTTATAATCCCTTTGCATAAAAGTGGATTTAGATCCAACATTGAAAACTATAGAGGTATCGCAAAACTATCAGTTATACCTAAACTTTTTGAAGCTATCATCACTGACCATATAACCTTTTCGATTTCTCCGTTAATTTCCTCATCTTAGCATGGATTTCGTAAAGGGAACTCGACTATATCCAACTTACTTGAATTTGTAAACCATGTATCATTGGGTTTTAGGGAACAAAAGCATACGGATGTTATATACACAGACTTTAGCAAAGCTTTCGATAAAGTAAATATCTCGATTCTCATACATAAACTTGATCTGCTGGGCTTTCAGCCAAGATTCCTTCAATGGGTATCTTCCTATCTTTATAATAGAACACAACGAGTGATATTTGAGGATACACCTTCAGATACAATTAATGTTTCTTCTGGTGTTCCGCAAGGTAGTCATCTTGGCCCGATTCTGTTCTTGTTGTTTATTAACGATATCTCTTCAGTAATAGAATTCTCAAAAATTTTATTATACGCTGACGATGTAAAGCTTTTAAATCATACACTTCAACTGAGGAAAGGTGTCTGTTGCAAACAGACTTAAACAATTTGGTTGCATGGTGTGATAGAAATGATTTGCCATTGAAGCTCAATAAATGTAAGACGATGTGCTTTTCTCGTAGATCTGTGCACCCCTCTTCTTATGTAATAAAATACCATATTCTAGAGCAAGTTTTAAACTATGTTGATTTGGGAGTTAATATGGACCCTAAGCTTAATTTCAGTCTTCATATTGATACCATGGTCTTGAAAGCAAAAGCTGTCCTCAGTTTTGTTAAACGTTGGTCTAAAGAATTTAGAGATCCGTATATTACTAAAACACTTTATACAACTTTGGTTAGACCTATATTGGAATATGGCTCTGTGGTATGGAACCCTAGCTACCAAATCCATTCTGACAAGTTAGAGTCGGTTCAAAAACAATTTTTACTTTTCGCCTTAGCGCATTTCCGATGGGATGCTAGGGTAAGTCTACCTCCATACACTAGTCGTTTAAAACTTATAAATCTACCTACACTTTCTAGTCGTAGGGAAATGCTTGGCATAATATTCTTAGTGAAACTTTTGAATGGAACTGTTTGCAGTTCTTTTCTCCTGTCTGAAATTAAATTTAATATCCCGGTTCGCCTTTCGAGGCAGTTTAGACCTTTACTGCTAAAATCCTGTAGATCAAATTTTGAACTAAACGAGCCATTCCGCCGTATATGTCATGATTTTAATTCTCATTCCAGCACATTTGACTTATCTGACTCACTTTTCAAAATTAAAAAGACTTTATTGTTTTCTCTTAATAAATGAAAATGTAACAATTTATTATATTGTAACTTTAGATCTTAGCTGTTGAAATTTTTGTTTCTGTAGCTGAGCAGTTTTAGATCTCAACACTTAAAAACTCTCTTGCCTTTTCTGACTCGGCTAATTCCGCACGTATGCGGATTGCGCCCCTCGCGTCGGTTGGGCGGGAGGAGGGTAATCGTTGGGTTTATTATTAAAACTGAGGTGAACATATTTGGTATTGGGGGAATTGAAAAGTTATGATTAACTTTGATGTCTTCAATGAAGAAGTGGCCTACCTTAAAGGAAGTATTTGTGGAAAGTTTTATTCCAATATTCGTTAGCGCTTGATGTATATACTTGTACTATAAAGTGAAAGGCTTAGATAGAAATCAAAATTGTGATAGACGGGAAGTTGGCGGGGTTGTAGTGCGATTTCGTTAATTTTTGCACTGTAACATAGGGATTCAAACATAATGTTACACACTAAATTTCCTAAAATATATCGGTTTTAAGTTAAAAGTGGGTGGTGCCACTCCCATCTTCCAATTTTTTCATCGCTTCCTTTGATACTCCTAAAATGTCAAAAATTTCCCCCTCAGCCAGATTTGCTGATATAGCTCGTATGGGTTAAGAGATATGTACATTAAACCTATTAGGGTCGTCCACTTTTTGAAAATGGCCCCTCACTTTGGCGTCAAAATTTTTGTGTCTTAATTTGGAACCAAGTTTATTAAGTTTCATTGTGATATCTCAATTTTTACTGAAGTTATCGTTTGCACGGACGGACGGACAAGTAAAATTTAACTCGTCTTATCATTCTGATCATTTATTTACATATAACTATATATCGATTTCGATAGGTTTAAGGATTAATGTACAAAACTATTATACTATGTAGCAACATCAGCAAATCAAATGTACATTGTAAGGATATAGAAAATAAAACTAAAAATTGGTTTGTCAAAAAGATGAAGATATTTAATTATATGTTCCCCTTATTCAGGTCTGGAATAATATTGCTTGTAGTGAATAAAAAGGGTCAAAATAATTGAACCATATTATGTATACACGAGAACTATAATATTGATAATCCGGGCGTTCACTTTTCTTCTTCGTTCTACTCAGTTCACTTGTCTTGTTTATTTTTTGAATTAGCTGTCTCTTTGTACTTACCTTTCTTCTTACGTATACAATTGAGTTAACTGGAATAAAGTACTAGTATATTTGCTTTCGCAATACTGTTCAGTTAATTTATTTTTGTCGTGAATACATTCTAAAATAATTTATTCAAAATAATAAAACCAGTAATCCAGACATATCCTGAAAATATAGTGTGGGTCAGGAACAAGAATATTTTTAATTAAAAGTTAGTCTATATGTTTGCGATTAAAATTTTTAAAAATATTTTTTAACGCGTATTTGGGATTACATTTTTTTTCAATCCCGTATTTGAAATATAATCCCAAATATCGGACCGAAGGATTCCAAAAACGGGATTAAAAAAAAAAGTTGTTGAAATGATTCACTTGATATTTGGATATGAACAACTAACTCGTGAATTTATCGCCTACTTGTAAACAGCACAAAATTGTCCAGGAAGTACATGCATATTGTACGTACATATTGATAGAACATACTTAAAGTTGTAGTGAATATTTTCTATTAGTTATTGTGGTTTGTAAGATTTAAACCATGCATGTTATACATTTAATATATTTGTTATGTAAAAATCTCAAAAGTAAAGTGAGTAAAGAATAAATTCTTAACACGCCCCTTAGGGACAGCTATTGAGTTTTCCAATGAGTTTGAAACAAATATATTAATGTTAAGTATATTTTCATCGCTAAATCAAATCAAATCAATTCGTACCGGAATTCGTAATATAAATTTTCACAGACTCCTTAAAAAAATGTAGTCTTGCAGTATAGTTATAAAAGTGCGTTACGGTACTTTCGAATATTTTCGAATTTGTGTCAATTTATTATTGTATTATTGTTTGTTGTAGGTGTTCGTTCTACATACGTGCGGCATCTAACATTTATGAGTACATATTTATGTATGGATGGGTATTATTTATTTTTTTGTACAAAACTACATAGGTATGTGTATATGTATATAATTATGCATCAAGTGTATGCATGTATGTATGTAACTAAGATACATAGTAATCCTTTCAAGGGACCGAATTCAAAAAGCAAGGATGCTACAGTTTCATAGAGGAAGCATGTTAATTCTAGAAGCTTTTACTGTTTCCATGCTTGACCGGGACTGACGGGCGCAATAAACAATTTTTTAAACTATATTAAAGAGTGTTTTTTAGACGTCTGGTTTTCAATGAAGCAATACTTTCTGGGTTTTTCGGGGTAGGTCCTTTTGACAGCTGTTAGTTAATTTATACTCTGTTTGGTTTGCCATTTCATAATGGACAGACTTACTTCGGAACAACGTTTATATATCGTGCAAATTTATTACAAAAATAATTGTTCGGTTCGCTCGGCGCATCTCCGCACAGTGGCCGATTTGACTATTCCAGCTTAAGATTAAGCCAATTTTCAACTGTTAAAATTTATCAATATTTTTTTTTCCTACCGATGGTCAAATATTAATTTATCAAATATATAATATCAAAACCGATAAATGTGATTAAATAAATCAGCTGTTAGCTCTCAAAGTTAACATATGGTAGCACAACATTTTCCACTTGTTATTACATTTCGACATTTTTTCGGAATTCACCTGTTTTGAATCTATTTTCCCATTTTCGTTAAACTCAAGGTATGTATTAAAAGAAAATAAATGTTTTATGACCTGTGAATACATGTTGTGTTCATAATTTGTGCTTGAAACCATCAATGTTTGTCGTACCCTTTTTGTAAGCAAATTTCCGCTTCTGTAGAGTAAAACTTTGGGAGGCAGGTCTTGGACGGCAAAATATTTATAGCGGTGTTAAACTATGTGGGGGATATTTTCAGCAATCATGTCGGTCTGCAAACAAACACTTTTTGCAGTATGGCATGGGGAAACAGACGCCACGAAGAAGAATTTTACACTGGCTCAGTACATTTTTGAGAATATTATTGACAAATCGAAATGTTTTGAAGAGGAGTTGAATTCTATTGTTGGTAAAGTTAAACATTTTTGTAAAAGGATTTTTGAAAGATGGAGACAATGTAACAGGGATACGAAGCGATTTGAGTGCAAAAACGCGGTTTGGTTAACTGAACATTTGGTTCTTCTGAATGAAGACAATAGACTTGGATTAAAACCGAAAGCAAAAGTGTTATACTAATTGCCACCCAAATTACCAATGGTTAAAGGTATCTAGTAGAAGCCAACTCTTGTGCAGAGCTTATGAAAGCAACTACTGTAAGCCTTTACAATTCTGGAAAAAGCAGTGCATCTAATATTGCTTAAATGGCAGCCACAAATCCAGAAGCATCTAAAAAAATAAAAAAAAGTCTGAATGTTACTGAACAGATACTAATTAAATATACTCCAGAGGAGGCTTTGGTCATTGTTTATTAACCAAAATGTCATTTAAACTTTTGCAACCTTTAGGTGGCAAGGCGCGAAATGCCAATATCTTGAGAAGATGTGTTATCTGGACTCAAGAAGATCGGACGAATGTTATGCAGAAGTTCCATTGCAAGATATGTTAAATCATACGATAACTTGAACTGTTAATTTGTGTTTAGCTAAATCTCATTGTATGATGACAAATATGAAAATTTGACGTTCTTGTCAAAATAGGGTTGCGATGGGAGTTCTGAACACGCAACCTATGGCAGAGGTTCCATCGATCCACAAATAAAATAGCAGATGAACATGTGCTTTTTATTATGTATTGCGCCTTTATATGTGAAAATGGCATTCTTTGGTGAAATCCTCGCCCATCATCGACTCTTTATTTTAGACCCCTTAAAATAATGTTTGCAACAGAGTCTACTGAATTGGTAAGAGCCGAGAGAGAGAATATACAAGTGCAGATTTTTCAAATTGTGCCTACGAGATTGAGCAGCTTTCAAGCTGACACCAAGTTGGTGCTTACGATGATCGATGGAAGAGTGTTTAGTATAATTGTTGAATCGTCTTCACAAGCATGCGGTATTTGTAAGGCTACGTCTAAATTAATGAATAACATAGATGGTATTAACAATTTGGCAAGACACAATGACTTACTCAAATTCGGACTATCTACTTTACATAGTTGGACTCGCTGCTTTGAATGTGTGTCACAAATAGGTTATCGGCTACCCATTAAAAGGTGGCAAGTACGGGGTTTAGATAAAAGCATAGTCGATCAACGAAAATCCGCTATTCAATAATGGTAGATTTAGGGTTGAAATGGCATTGTTGGTAGATATTCCAATGCAAGGTTCTGGCAACACCAATAGTGGGAATACTGCTCGACGGTTTTTTGAAAATTATATATTGTCTTCACTAATAGTGGACATTTAGGTTTAGAAAGGTTTTCATTGATTCTGCGCTGTATGTCTTCTATATATACAATAGACATTCATAGATGTCGCAATTATGCTTTCAAACTACTACTACACGGATTTTTGTTACAGAATTTCCATGGTTCTCCATGCTTTCCTCAGTGCTCGAGATATTGGACGGAGCTATTGATCATCGAAAATGTACTACTTCCAATCGAAATGATGTCGGAAAAAGCTTTAGAAGTCCGAAACAAAAATTTAAAAAAATGTCGCCTAAATCGTACTCGAAAAAATTTGCAATCTAACAAAATGGAGGATCTTTTGCGCTTATTGTTAGTATCGTCGGATCCAGTAATAACCACTTTAAGAAAAAAATTCGGCCAATAACTCGAGCAAAGCAGTTTCTTTTGACATTGAAAGCCAAAATCGTGCGTGAATATCGTGCAAATTTATTACCAAAATAATGGTCCTGTTGACGGGACGCATCGCCGCTGCGTCCAATGTTCGGTCGACATAATCGCTCAGTAGAACCGGTAATTCAAGCAATCATGGATCGGTTTCTCATCACTTTTACTCTAGCGAATAATGCGTAGTGGAGCTGTGCCCATCCACTTTATGAAGGATTTTGCGGAAGGATCTTAGTTTGTGGGCTTACAAAATCCAACTCGTACGAGAATTGAAGCCGAACGACCATCAAGATAATGATTTCGTTATGATTTCCGTTGATTTCATTAGATTTGTTCAGTTATGAAGCTCACTTTTGGTTGAATGGGTACATTAATAAACAAAACTGTCACAATGGAAAGAATTATAGAATACAAGATTACGCCAACCGCCATATTGTGACGTAATTCTTTTGAGTTGTGAAGAAGAAGCATAAAACAGCATGTAAATTGTAAACAAAAACGTATACACTTTTGTTATTTCGTGAAATAGATTTAATTTAAAAGTTTAGAGTGAAAAAATCTTACTGATATGAATGGAATATTTTGGTCGTTTTTAAATAAATACTTTTATCTATCGACAAAATAATTGCCAATTAAATTAATGATTACGATTGCGATGTATCCAGCAATAGTTTCTTACATTATACACAAACATATACATACAAATATTAATAATAGTTCCGATTTATTTAAATGAAATTATAGTGAAAGGATTCTGAAATTGTAATTATTATGATTATGAAATAAATGTCTATTATAAAAATATTTAAAATTTGTTTGCTACTTTTATAACCGAAGAAAAAATGAAAAAACTCGTTTATAATAGTTTATTTGCATAATAGTTATTGCAACTTGCCACTACACACTTCATTTTTCAAACTAATATATTTTGTACTTATAAATTGAAATAAATACAACCTTCGCAATCACAATCCCTTTTATCCATTTATTTAATTAGCAATTATGTTGTCAATATAGAAATGTATTTATTTGAAAATGAGCCAAATATTTTCTCGCAGCATTATTCTATTCATTTCAGTAAGATCTTTTTCACTATGAACTAATAAATTAAGTCCATTTCACGAATTATCAAAAGTGTTAACGTTTATGTGTACAATTTACGCTGTTCTATGCTTCTTCTTCTCAACTCAAGAGAATTACGTCACAACAAGTCGGTATAGTGCAGTTTGTTTTTGTAACAATTGTCAGAGCCTAAACCGAAAAAAGGAACGGTAAATTATTGTCGTAACCTTATATTCTATCATTCTTGTCGCAAATGGAGTGTTGATAATTTACAAACCATTGTTGAGACGAAGTAACGTTTTTAAAAAGTCACTATTTGGTGTGCTCTACAGGCAGAGGGAATCATTGGTCCATATTTCTTTAAAAATGAAGACGGTCATAATGTTATAGTCAATGAGGAACACTATAGAGCCATGATTAATGACTTTTTCGTGCCTGAATTGAAGGATGTTGATATGGCGTTTGGTTTGAACAAGACAGCGTTATGGCATAGCGAACGAAACAATTAAGTTATTGGAAACTTCTGCTGACTTGGGCTGTCGCTTGCCTACGCATATAAGCCCGAGACGATTGACTTCTTGGGAGAGAAGGCCCAATTGCTGCAAAAAGTTTTCGAAAATTGGGTCAGCTGCGGTGGTCACTTGCCTGAAACCATTTTTAAAACATAATGGCAAATCCTTATTTTTATAATACAACTAAATTCTTGGCTTCCGTGTTATTTCTTCATGAAAACCACTTGTCTAAAAACCCACCTTTTTAGATTTAAATTTTCTGTAGCTTATACTTTTGAATAAGCTGTAGATAATTTGAAGGCATCCAGAATACCCATATAATGGTTAAAAAAATCCCAAAGATATGGTAATGAAGACGGAATAGAAATATACATAAGGAACGTTCGGTATGAATATCTAGTTAATTATTATTTGTGTATGTGGTATAAGTATGGGTATCAACGCGTTTGTTATGATTACACATATTTTTTTAGGTTTTTCATAGCTAGAAGGGGCGGTTGAGGTGGTGTGTTGATATTCGGATATTCGGTATTCACAAACATCGATGAGTATATGGCGGTCTACACTACTACTAATGCTAACACGTCACGACTACGTTTGTCAATCGTTAAATTTGTATAAGGTATGTATGTATTTGTATTTCTGATTTTGTTTGTTTTTTCTTCTTTTTCAATTTATTTCAATACAATTTCTTTTCAACTACGATTCTTATTTTAATTATGTTTGTTAACGACATTTATGCACTCATATTATTTCTTCTATATGTAATGTAGTTATGTATGTATGTAAATAAACATTACATTTAAATAGTTATATTATATATTTCGATTAACCATTTTTTTACTGCACATCCGCGTTTCTTAGATTACTTTTACTGTACTCTTACAAAATCAAACTTATTGCTTTGTTTTCAGATTTTTAACACACATTTAAGTTGTGTTTTCTAATAATATCAATAAGTCGTTAGGAATTGCTTAGGCTTTCATTCTTTTTGCATTGGTAACATTTTGTTGCAGAAAGTTGATTGATACGTACCACAAATTTTAGTTAGTAAGGTTAATAGGTAGGTTCAGCTATGAATACAATATTTAGTGTAAGAAGATTTATTTATAGTTAGAAATACTACATGTAAATAAATATAACAATAGTTCATCAATTCATCAATCATTCAACACATAACGAATTTTTCGTAGCAAGTACATTTTTCAAACCTTTTTTTCAATTCTTAGATTACTTTTAGTACTATCTATTTTCTGCATTACTAAATGTAGCCATAACACTTTCCTCCACTTTATAAGCAGTCTAATTTTAATAATTTTTGTTATAAGATTTTGATATATTTTGAATTCTAAATTATAACCCGTTGAAACTTTGTCATTTTGAAACTCTTCAAAGAACACAAGATTCTTGTTCAATAATTTAATGATAACACTGCGTTGCCAGACTCATTAAGATACGGGAGATTTTTAATGTTCTAAAGTTTGAGGCCGATCCAACAAATGTAAAAAATTATTTAAAATTGTAATTAATACAAGTATATATATATATATATATTTAGGAGGGTAACCATACAATAATCCAGATTAAGGCTGTTTAGCAAAATGGGGTTAGGGATAGTCAGAATTTTCAAAAAGTCGATGTTTTGCATTTGTTTAAGTATGAAATATTTTAAGTCAATCCGACAAACACTTTTCGAGTTGTTCGATAAATAGCGAATGGTTCTCCGGAGCATCCTAGAGTGTAAAACTTCAAATGTGTTTTACTCAAAACTATGTTTTTTGAACTGGTGAGTACTGTAGCTCGAACACCGATCGATAGATTTCAAGAAAAAGGTATACATGAAATACTAGTGCCTGATCCAAGGATTTTTTTCTTTTTAATTTTAATTTTTTATAAACAAATAACTGTTGGTTTTACCTGAAAATCTGGAAACAATTTTAATGAAACCGCCGTTTTGTTAATTTACAAAAAACGTTCGATAAGACACTAGATTATCTATTAATAAAACAATTTTTTTTTGTTGGATTGAATTTAGAGGAATTTCAAAGAATTAGTGGTGGTCGACGCAAAGAGTTTCGGCTGGAATTGGATCAGCACAAACAACCATTGTTTTCAAATTATTAATTTTTTTTTTTTCAAATTCATGTCAAGTCAAGTCTAAACCTTATTTAGTGATGATATGCTTTTTACTTTAAAATAAAATAATTTATTAGCAAAAAAAGTATTAAAAATTGTAATTTTTTCATGTCTCTGATTACACTTAGCCCCTTAAACTTGGAAATTGGAAATGGTGTAAAAACCAAATATTACTAATGATTTCAATTATGTTTCAAATAATAAGTTGTACTCTATTAGTTGATAATAATATCGGTTTAATTACTGGAACACATCAAAATCAATGTATTTTAAAATATAATATTTATATTTTAATTTTCTGTTAACTGCTCTGAAAAACGTTTATATTATATATAATCTTATATATTATATTTCCTTTTTTAATTTTGGGCAGAATTACTTTTGACTAAATTATGAATCAAAACATTAAATACTCAACCGAATTTCTATGTCTTTTAGTATCAGTGGATTAAGTGGGGAAAAGTGTAACGACTTTTAAAATATACCTACTTCATATCATGTAGTGTATGTATATATGCATTTTAGTATTTTTTACTCTATCGTAAATAGTATTTTTGTATGTGGTATAAAAAATATTTCAGCTCGATTCTGCGTCCATATGCTTACACCTAGTAGTTCTTACACATACGCTACAAGTACATTTGTAACATCTCGCGGTTTTTGCACTCAAAAACTGCACCAAGCTGCAATAATGCAAATATCTAAATAAATTTGAAGTAAAGTAAAGGAACATAAAACTTTAAGCTTTTCAAGCTAAATTTTAGTAAGTATACATATTTGTAAATAGGGATAAAACCAATAAATTCAATCAACTTGCAGGTATATTAAGGTTTCATATGTCATTTCGCTTTTCATCGTAAGTTTCTACACTTCAACTTATTTATATAGTTTTCCTAATAGGTTCTTTGTGTATTAAGTTTCCCTTACTCTTACTCTTTCCAGTTCGACTCATAGTTCACATATTTCAAGTTTGATTTAATAGGACTAACAAGTAGTTTGTATGTACGTAGTGACATGTATATCAGTAATATGTAACATATGGTACATTTATACCTGTGTATATAAATACTTATATATATGTACGCTTATTTTTTCAACAGTTTTGATTGTTTTGTGTTTTCATTGCATATCCATTATGACTCTCTTAAAATTTATGTTATTTTAATTTCTTTTTTCATTTTATTCGTCCAAAGACTCGGTTTTTGGTATAAAAAATTATTACGATAGTTTTCTAACTTTACTATAGACTACACTACTACGTCTGCGTGAAAGTGTATTTTTATGACGGCAATATTTTAAGTATATATGTATGTACTATGCATAATATATCAATAAATGTATGCACATACGTTTGTATTAACTATAATTTCCATATATTTATAAATACAATAGTTTGCTCAAAATACTCACATTGATTTTCACTACTAAACACCTCACTACAATATCTACTACTATTATGATTTTCATACTAAGTATATTAGCTTTTATTTATTATTATTTTCAATAGGTATATGCGAGTTAGTATTGAATACTTTAGGTCGGATTTGGTGGCCTCTATGTCCAAATGGCCTCTTTGTCCAATTTATTTATTCTTAATTTTTTAAAATTCAAATATTATATTAAATTTCAACGTCCTTTTAAGGCTTAGCGTTTTCGTTTTGAACTAAATAAAAATTTCAATTGGTTTGGGTATTTGTTTAAATTAGCGTTTGAAACTTCGCTAGTATGGCCGCCATTATCTACTGCAAGTGCCACAGAATACTAACTGATTTTTTTTGATTCAAAGAGGCACTAGAACAGCCAAACTTTGCGATTTGACCTTAAATGAGATTATTTTTATCATGGTGTTTTGTGCCAAAAAGTTACAACTGTCGTCAGTGTAAATTTTCATTAGCGAAGCTACCAAAAAAATCTTGTTAAATTGTTGTAATTTCATAAAAAATACAAGGGTGATATTATAAGAACTTCTTTGATTAGTAAGAGAGCTTTCAAAGGTCACCTATTTTAACGAAATAATTTAACGTTAATTTATTTAACGAAATATAATTATATTTAAATTTAGAAATATTAATACGAAGAAACAAAACAACTTAAAATTTAAATATTTATCACGATTTTATGAGAAATGTACAAATATTTCGTAAAGAATAACTAAAAAACTTTTGTTGCACAAAATGCGGTATTATCTGTGTCGTTCCTTGATATTTTTTTACATTACTTTGGTCACTTTTTCCGATATCAGCTGTTCAAAGTTTCCTAATCTCCATTGCTACCAACTTAATCAGCGTTTGCAAGAAGCAGGAGAGAGTTTCGTAACATCAATTCGTATTCTAGTAATAGCTAAGATATTCTTAAGGGATGTCTTCCTACGACGTTGGTATAACAACGCATTATATGTAGGTCTCAAACTGGTGAGTGCAGTATCATGCCATATGATCCAGAAATGTCGCGGGGTTAAAAAGGTCACAAAATTTTGTTTGCACTTGTAGGTATATATATTATCTAGTTTACCAGTTCCGCTTATTTCCTCACAAAACTTTTGCCTTATTCAGAGCCGGATTAAGTGCAAGACCGACATGGCCGCCACATTTGGGGATCCCCACAAAATGAAAAAAAATATCTCTTCTTAGTTCTCCTACTCATCATTCAGTATTCGGAAATTTATAAATAGCTATATTGATTTTGAACGTCATTTCCGGAAATGATGTGAAAAAGTAAAAGAAATACAAGTATTATACTAGCTTTCTGTTTCGTAATATGCAGAGAACTATGCGACATCAGTCGTAAGAGCTCATACTATTTCTCAAAGTTTAAAAATTAATTCAAAGATTGCACAAAATCACAGATATTGACTTGAAGTAGTAAGAAGCGCATTTCGCCTAGAATGCGCTTTTAACTTCTCGGTCCTCAGGCATCGCCAATGCAACTTTCAATGAGGGACAATTTTGTGTGGGAGTTTTTTTCCCAGTCATTAATGAAGGGATTAGTGCACTTGAAAACAAAATTTCCGCTTACGAGTTGGTTTAAGAGCGTTTTATTTTTAAAGGTCAGCTAATACACATGAAATCAGATTTTTAAGTAGTGATTACTTTATTAATATTATTATATAATTAACGATCATGTTAAATAAATTGGCGAGTAATTTGTCAATGAATTTTATAATATTATTGTATGATCACGATCTTAATTCGACCTTGGCCATATTCTATTAATTTTTTATATGTGTGCTTAATTTTTTTTTTTCTGCCAAAATATTAACACCAAATTCTTTCTTTGACAATACGAATGATACCCTGCAACAAAAGCTCATATGTTGTGGTCAGTAGTGCATGGTGCTGTGTAATTTTTAATTGTACGTAAAACAACGATACTTGTTATCTCTGGCGTAAACTTCATATGTTTATCTTTAACTAAGTTTGAATGGGAGATTTAAGCCTAAATTGTGTAATTAAAATAAATATTTTTATTTAATCACAAATGGACTGAAAGCATTGTGTGTAAGGCTGTTATTGCTAATTGTTCAGCCTTTCAATTAAAGGTATTTTTTTTTACCAAATGTATATATTTTTTAAAAATAAATTAAATATTTGAATTTGTAATTATTTGAATTAAAATTAAAATTTAATTTTGCGACCAATGTCAGCACTGGCGATGCACTCGTACAAATTAGTTTTCGACTTAATGTCAAATACGTTCTATAAATAGTTTCTAGTTCGATCTAATTTCGAATATTTTTCACACACTGTAACATTACTAATGTAAAGTATTTGGTTATTTAGATTTATATTTGCACCATACCATCTTAATATTCTTCATGCAAAGTAACGATTTTACACACTAAATACGAGTACTGTATAAATGTATAATATCGAGTTACAAGTATTCGATAACTAATTATTGCTTTCCATTCAAATCTCATCGATTTTTAATGCTTATGGTTTTAGCGTATTTTATGATTATCGCTATTTTATTTATTTAAATATAATATGTATGTATGTATTTATGAGTATACTTAAATAATAACTACGTAATACGCTTATGGTTTCCGTAAGTCTACAATTCGATAATAAACTTTTGTAAAAATAATCAATAACTTACTACACACTAGGGTAACAAATTAGAAATTTATGCAGCTACATAACTGATTGAGGATTTGATAGAGTGGAGGACGTCATAGTAGGACGAGTTAATGACGTCAGCGTTGCGGGGCTGGACAGATAAAAGTATTGGAATGCGAAGACTTAAAATGAGCTTCTAGTTAAGGACCATTGGTTGTGCCACTGTAGAATAATGAAAGCACTCGCATACCAGAAAGTTGTCACAAAACTTTTACTACAGTCTTCGGCTTTGCTTAATCCTTGCGTTTCGGTGGCTGCAGAACTACGACTGCTTCGTGCTGCTCCTTCAATGATGTTATTGTTGTCCATTTCATGAAGCACAGGCAGCCCAAGATCCGTTTGCTCCACACTCTCGGCGACAAATGAGCGTTGCTTTGGCTTACAGTATTGATGCTGCTTAAAGGTTTTCGTTATGTTTATGCTGTATCCTTCGAGGTACTCTGAGCCCTGCAACAAAAAAAAAAGAAAAAAATTCAGTGGGGCAAAAGAAAGGTAAAAATTTGCCACAAAAAAACAAAAGTAAATAGTATTACATAATGAAGGGAAATGTAATCAATATCAACATTAATTAAAATACTTCCGTTTGGATACAAAAAAAGGGTGGCGAATGCTGCTCGTTTTTCAGATTGAGGCAGTATGTACCATATTTTCATTGGTTACAATAAATGCTGTCATATTTGTAAAACTCGAAAAAACCTGTCTAAAAAATGTAGTCTGAAAAATTTTAATTTGTGTCTATAGTACGTTGAGCAAATAAGAAGAGGGTGCAGGAAGAATTTCAAAGTCTTGTCGAACTTATATATGTATTTATGTGTGATGAGAAAGAAGTTCATTTGATTTACAGGTAGCAATGCGTTTCTATTTATATGTCGATGTACTACATCCGATTAGGTAAGGTTATACTAACCGGTCATTTATAGACCCACAGGTCCTTTGTATTGCCAAATGGAGGTTTAATTTAATACGAGCTGAAGCTTACACTTGCAGGACGTCAACGCTTTTTGCGAAATATAATAGACACTTGATACCTAATTATGCTACTCCATTCCTACTTTCCTGAATTTTCTAGGTGTGCCATGGTTAATAATGCTATGTGGTGATGCCAGTAAATTGTGACCAGGGCCTAGACCAACAACTGTCCTGCAGTCTTTTCGCGACCATGTGAGTAAAAAGCATGCGTATTTTCCTTCCGTGCCCTTGCACATGATCTTGCTGATCCTACATGCCCTAAGGTATTCCATTTCACCCTGATCCGTCTGTCAGCTCTTTCGGAAATTTAATTGTGTGTCGTTTTTAATGACTTGCGTATACCCTAAAGTGGTTTGGTAGCCAAGGGGATGACACATTTGGCAATCTTATCGGATATTTCGTTTCCCGGAATGCCCTTATAGCCTGGGACCTGGAATTGCCGTCTGTGGACGTAAATATTGATTTTCTTTATGTCGTTTGCTGTATAAGTACTACATGCTAAGTTCAAAGCGTTAACAAAAACAACCAACCTAATCGAATTGAATAAAAAGTAAGGAAAGACTAATATCGGGACTAGGAAAGGCAAAGACTGATTACATCCGTTTTCATGTCAAATCACATTGCGCTGAAAAGCTTTAGAACACAGAATATTATTAATTTACCAAACATATATACATATAGTATACCGATATACATAGGTATATTGTTTAAAGCGAACGGAAGATCTGAGGACTATTTATGTGAGTTAGGGAAGATAAGGACCGATTGTGACTACTTTTGCAGCAAAGTTGTCCATACTAAAGTCAAAGTGTCCAAGGGAAGTGTACGTGAATCTAAATGACATTAATCTGCGCATAGAAGACGTAATGAAAATGTTGTATTCTAAATCTCGCTTTTAATTGGCCGAATATGATATGAGATATACTTCTCTGAATTTGTAAAATATTGCCTCCTTGCATTAGTTTTTTCACTCGAAATATTTCGATATATGGAAATGTACTATTATATAATATTCACGTGCGAAATTCTCGTGGTCTATTTGTGCTTTTGCAATTTCAAGAGAAATTTCTTATGTATATATATCATAGATTTTTATCATATGCATTTTTGAATGTAGTAGTGAATCGGTCACATAACATTACTATCTACTATCGGAGAAATGTGAAAATTGTTTGAGGTAATTATTACAATCCGACTTATGTTCAACTAATCGACCCGTAAGTAAAGAATAAGACAATTATATACTAAAGTAAAATATATCAAAATATCTTTTGTTGAGTCGAACAAATGGTCCTAAGACCAACGCTGAAAAATGTCACACCGAAAATCGAAATAATAAAATTTGTAGAGTGGTTTTATTAATAATTGTATCGACGTTTATTTTGTTTGACGATCAGCTTACGACTAAAAATTCATTATGAGAAATTTCTTTCTTAGCTTTGGACTGTAAATATGTTTATAAAAGAATGTGCATGCTCTATATTTGTGTGTATTACTTGTATATGGAATCGCTGAGTGCTTGCGTGCGCGCTGAGCGAGGTGTGTAAGGTGTTATATCTTTTCCATAAGGCGTTATAATATGAGTGGAGTATGTATAAAGCAATGTGAATTTGTTACTAAATATGTATTATGTGCATTTATGTCACTATATACATATGTAATATATATAATAATTTTAAACACAGTTTAGGAAAATTCTGCATTTTTAAAATAGCAAAATTTTAGTTCCATATAAAATGGGTTATATATTTACTGTTGATGGCATTCGTATCTTTTTATACCCTAAACATTGTATGTTAAGTTTACCACGATGTTTGTAACACATAAAAGGAAACGTCGGAAAGTGTGACGAGTTGAGTCCATTTGATCATGTCTCCGTGTTTACGTGGATGCGACTGTCTGTATACTATATGCAATATAGTCTCTCTGTTTTTGAGATATCGATTTGAAATTTCGCACATATCCTCTTCTCATCAAGAAGTTGCCTATTTGACGGAACCGCAGATATCGGACCATTGTAGCAAATAACTGCTACACAAACTGAACGATCAAAAATCTTGTATGGAAAACTTTTTCATTTCCCAAGATATGTTGACGGAATGTGGTATGAATTATTATCTCAAGCAACGGTATAATTTCTGAAAAAAATGTTCAGATTGGATCACTATAGCTAGCAAATAACTACTATACAAACTGGCCAATTAAAATCAAGTTCTGTAAAGAAAACTTTTTTATATGAAAAAATCTTCACAAAATTTGACATGAACTATTATACGAGTCAATGGTATAATATTTGAATAAATTGTTCAGATCGAATACTTTAGCAAATATCAATAGGGTATCAACCGAAGTTAATATTTTTTCTTGTCTTAATTGTTTTGAAGTTATTGTACATAGGATATGGGATGTTATTCCTATTTTCCGTTAAAAGAAGCGTACCTTTATCATTTAAGTAATGATGATAAAATTTTCTTTACTACCAGTTCGACTAAATTAGTGCTATTAGAGAAGGAGCAAACTTCGGAAGCATGGATTTTAAGAAGATTATTATTGGTTTCGAGCACAACAGTGCGTAAAAATTCAATATAAGTACTTACTGGAATAACATGATTTTTCGCGCCCCAACAAAGTGGCTTAAAAGATCCACTTCTAGTTGCCTCTTGAAACTCATCGAACTGATTTTGCCAGTCGTAAGATATTAATCGTGCCTCAAGCGTCATACCCGCCAATTCCGGTGGCGAAGAAATCAGCACAGGATTGGAATCACTAAAATATTAATACACATTATTAAATAAAATCTTTTTATCAATATATTTGCTAAATTTATACCTTATAATAACTGTTTTTATTAGCGAATTTAATAAACCTCTGTTTTATAACATGATAGAATACAACACAAATAAAAAAAACTGGTAGAGTTTCAATACAACAAATTTTATATGAATTAGCGTTTTAATGGTTAAGTTCAAATATTTATTTTTTAATAATATAATAATAATAACCCAACGATTACCCTCCCCCCGCCAAACCGACGCGAGCTGCTCAATCCGCATACGTGCGGAATTAGCCGAGTCAGAAAAGGCAAGAGAGTTTTTTTAGTGTTGAGATCTAAAACTGCTGAGCTACAGAAACAAAAATTTGAACAGCTAAGATTTATAGTTACGAATAATAAATTGTTACATTTTTATTTATTAAGGGGGTATTCTGGTCTAGAGGCATGATTTTTAGGTATTTTTTAAAGTGCTCTATAAAATAGGCAATTAATATTTTTACCCTCCATTTTTTTATATGTTATTTATTAACCTTTTAAGAGTACAGAAAAAAATTAAAATAATTTTTTTTTTCAAAAAAAAAATTTTTAGCAGCCGATGAAGTGGGGGGTCTCGAAAAATTGGCAGGTGGCCATACCCATGATTTCATCCCTTCCAGTTATCTAAATTGAAAAAAATAAAAAGATTATTAATCTACATGAATGTTTTTTGATAAAATGGCGACTGTTTGAAAAAAAACATAATTTTTGGACAACTTTTTTGACTTTCTCAAATTTTTTAAAAATACTAAATTTTGGAATTTGGGGATGGGGCTAGTTCATGGCCGAGAGGAGTCTATGAGGAAGATTCCCTGAAAATTTCAAGTCAATTGGTCCAGCAGAACTTGAGATATCATGTGTATTAGGTTGAAAAAGACAGTTTCGAGAAAAACGCGTTTAAAGTTTTGCCCGCCGTTCGTTTCGTTTGAATGCCGCGCCAGCAAAATGCCTATATCTCCGAAAATAGTTCGGATTTTCAAAAATCCTCTCGTACACACATTCTTGAATAGTTAAACTTTGAAAATATGAAAAAAAAATTGATTTCTTGAAATTTCTAGACCAGAATACCCCCTTAAGAGAAAACAATAAAGTCTTTTTAATTTTTAAAAATGTGAGTCAGATAAGTCAAATGTGCTGGAATGAGAATTAAAATCATGAGTCATGTCGGTGGAATGCTTCGTTTAGTTCGAAATTTGATCTACAGGTTTTTAACAGTAAAGGTCTAAACTGCCTTACAAAGCGGACCAGTATACTAAAATGAATTTCAGACCGGAGAAAAGAACTGCAAACTCTTCCATTCAAGATTTTCACTAAGAATATTATGCCAAACATTTTCCTATGACTAGAAAGTGTAGGTAGATCTATAAGTTTTAAACGACTAGTGTATGGAGGTAGACTTACCCTAGAATCTCATCGTAAATACAGAAGGCGAAAAATAAAAATTGTTTTTGAACCGATTCTAACTTGTCAGTATGGATTTGCTAGCTAGGGTTCCATACAACAGAGCCATATTCCAATATAGGTCTAACCAAAGTTGTAAAAAGTGTTTCAGTAATATACGGATCTTTTAATTCTCTAGACCAACGTTTAACAAAATTGAGGACAGGTTTTGCTTTCTAGACCTGGAATCAATATGAAGACTAAAATTAAACTTAGGATTCATATTAACTCCCAAATCAACATAGTTAAAAACTTGCTCCAAAATATGGTGTTTTATTACATAAAAAGAGGGGTGCACAGATTTACGGGAAAAGCACATCGCCTTACATTTATTGAGATTCAATGGCAAATCATTTCTATCACACCATGCAACCAAATTGTTTAAGTCTGTTTGCAACAGACACCTTTCATCAGTTGAAGTGTATGATTTAAAAGCTTTACGTCGTCAGCGTAATTTTTGAGGATTCTATTACCGAAGAGATATCGTGAATTAACAACAAGGAGTATCCTCAAATATCACTTGTTGTGTTCTATTACAAAGATAGAAAGCTTCTCATTAAAGAAATCTTGGCTGCAAGCCCAGCAGATCATGTTTCTATATGAGAATCGAGAGATTTACTTTATCCAAAGCTTTGCTAAAGTCTGTGTATATAACATTCGTATGCTTATGTTCCCTAAAACCCAATGATACATGGTTTGCAAATTCGAACAAGTTTGTTAGTCGATTTCCCTGTACGAAATCTATGCTGAGATGAGAAATATAACGAAGAAATCGGAAAGGTTATATGGTATGCGATGATAGCTTCAAAAGGTTTAGGTATAACTGATAGTTTTGCAATACCTCTATAGTTTTCAATAGTAGTTCAATTTTGGACCTAAATCCACTTTTATGCAAAGGGATTGTAAATGACTGTTTTCATATTGAAGAAAATATACCGTGTTTAAGAGAGGAATTAAATATCCTTGTCGAAGGCAAGTAATAAATTTGGCACTATTTTTAAGGAAGCATGAGGGTATCATGTCTGAGCCGTAACTAAAAGATGGTTTCAACTTATTTAAATTAAGTAAGACGTCTTCTTCAGAAATAATTGGAGCGTTAATTAAAGTATTCGAGCACGGCAAGTGCTGATAAGAAAAAGTTTTGAAAGAATTATTACAGTAGTTTGACTTGAAACATTTTGCAAACATATTGGATATAATATCATTGTCAGTTGAAATAAATTTGTATTTCATCGCGGACAGAAATTTGGAAATCCTGAGTTTGGAGTTGACGAAATCATAAAACGATTTGGATTACTTACAATATTCTTTTTTACTTTATTTAAGTAATTACTATAACATTTTTTGTTAAGGTCAAAATATTGTAATACAGAATATTTAGAATAGTCGACAAGTGAAGCGGCTTTTTTTTTAAATGTTTAAAGGCTCGAGTTTTTCTGTTTATCAATTTATATAACTCTTTCGAAAACCACGTACTTATACTTTTACTTTTATTAACAATTACTATTAAAACATACTTTTCAAATAATTTCGTAATAATATTATTAAAATGGGAACCACTCAATTCAATATCACCATTATAATTAGGCCTTCTTATTGTAGTAAGTTCTGTATTTAACTTTTTAAAATTATCTTTGCAAAGTTAAATCGAGTACAGAAGCACGAAGTTTGATGATTATTATCCCGTACTTTGCAAATGATTTGGACAGATATTTCCAAAGCAGGATGATACGAGTCTTTTGGTTTACTTTAAATAACGGAACACTTTAAAGAGATATCAACGTGTACTAAATCTAAGCATTTACCAAATTTATTCGAAATCAAATTAATTTGGTTCAGACTCAACTCGGACATTTTTTCAAAAACTCCGATGACCGATTGCAAATCAGTACGATATAGTCACCGAAAGCTTTCCATGAAGCACAGAGATACGGTTAAATAAATAAAGCAAATTCCGGTGGACGTTGTATCATATAAATCAATCAATCAATCAATTTTAAAATCGGGTCAGTACTACCCTGAGTCCCTATATACTTATTATAATAATAACAAAGATCCAATTTGAGTTTTTTTAAATATAATTTACTTTACCTTTGATATGAATGAAATCGATCTAGCTCTTGGTCTAAATCCCGTCCACAATTTTGTTTTTTTAATTGAGTTTATATAGTAGCTTATCTTAAAAAGAAATTCTATGTTACTCTACACATTCCTCTAACATTAGACAATATTTGCGCAAACAAAAGCGAAAGCCCGACAAAGCATTTCTTGCATCGCCCACACAATTAGGATAATAAATTTTGTACAGGTCGATGGATGCGGGAAGATCCCCGTTTCAATTAAAACTTCTCTTTCTTATCGCCCTCAAGTTTCAATCATTCATCGCGAGTCTGTGGAAGCGTGAGTATATGTGTTTGAGTATGAACAGAGTGCGGCTTTAAAGCTTCATACAAATCTCTTTTAATTAATTTATGATTCCCTTCCTACAATTTGTACCGCAACCGTGAAGTGGAAACAACAAAAATAAATAATATTAAACAAAGTACCCACATAGCAACATATACAATATACGTGTCTATCTAACTCTCATACATACGTACATATTTACTTTATATACCGAGAGTGCACATTTACGAATCGTAGTGCACATACGATTACTTCGTTTCTAATTACGTTTTTGCGCTCTTTCTTAACTCAGAAACAACGTCCGCTCGTTTACATACATACTTATACAAGTACGGGACATATTATTATACCCTACTAGGGTACCACTAAAAGTTAAAGAACTTAAAAAAGCGCATTCGAAAAAAACAAAAAAAAACATTTTAAACGGTTCGGTAAAGAAAAAACGAAATCTTAACAAAAAAAAAAAAAATTGAAAAATAATTATTTATAATTCTATAAATAAATAAATAACGATAATAAAAAATTGTGAACAATATTATATATATTGCTTCTATACAATTTAATTTAATATATTCCAAAGTCCAATTTGGCACATACTCGACAATACCCCTTGTTGTTTGGCAAACAAAAACAAGCAGGAGTGCGTACAAGAAAAAAAAATAAACAATTCTATAATATTATTTATATTCAAAGTCCATATAGGCACAAATCCGGCAATACCCCTTGTTTCTTGGCAACCAAAAAACAAGTAGGATTGCATACATATGTATAAAGTACATTGATCTCTTATACGAGCTCTCATTGACACATACTAATTCGCTTATAGGTATACCCTATAATGCATACGAACACAGAAAAGATATAACAAAATAGATATTGCAATTTTTGAATAATTATTGAAATAAACAATGCAATCGAGAAAAATAATAAAAAAAACCGTAACAACGAAACACGCTATCTTATTTAATCCGATTTAAAAAAAAAAAAATAAATAAAAATAAACCGATTTACTAATTCTCTTATTTATATAAAAGAGATTACGCGTTACAATTACGAATTTTGCTTAAATTTAATCAGTTTACACTGAGATAAATCATTTCACTAATTGAAC